TATATATGTACTGACATGACAACGAGTTCCCAAAAGCCGCAAAGTTCCACGGTTTGTTCACGTTCAGGCCATGAAAATATTCAACAATATAATGATGTGTTTGGCAATTCAAGCAACTTGCAGAAGTATATTTTTTCAAACAGGAAAAGAGTGATTGGCTGTCGGGTTAATCCATAATGCTGCGAGGGGGCAAGCAGGACTCGTCCCAATGAGCTCACCAAATTTTGTAATTCTGGCACAGCAGTCCTACCAGTTTCCTGTCCACTCCGCAGTCTTCCACGGTAGAAGTTGTGGCTAATCAGGAACTGACGCGCTGTTGAAACTAAAATGAAAGTATTGTTAAAACAAACAGCTAAAATTAGCAATTCTCGCGTCAGTTGCATGCCATTCCATGCTTTCTGTTATTTGATATCCTTAGCCCGTGCTAGTTTGTGGCATAGTATGAGTTCCTCATTGTATATGCTGTATGTATCATCTAATATACTTCATCAGGTTTCTCGAAGTTTCCGGCATCAGCCGAACAGTGTTTAACATGTGCCAAAAGAACGACTGCTTTGATGATCACATTCTTTATCTAATGGGGCTTATTACGGACAGTTCAGTTTCTCTATGCATCTAGTTTAACTTGGTCAAATTTCAGGCCACAGGCCTTGCATCAAAGTGCAGCGGCTCCAGCCGACACAGCAGCGTTGACCGAATATGAGGAGTATTAGGGAATGGGAGTCATGTTTTGAGGGTATTGAGAACAAACGGGTCTATGGTGCTTAGTAGAGCAGGAAGTAAGGGTTATTCAGTGAAGGCAATGACTATGACGTAAGACTGCCACTGACTATACGACATAGCCAAATCTGCTTGCATTAATAACCCTTGGTTTGTTTGACCCCGCAGTTTCCACCGGCGAAGACCGCATTTACCAACACGACTGAATTGCGTGGTGGAAACTTTCAAAACCCCGTTCCCAGATCATGAACTGACCCCCCCCCCTAGTCGTATCTATCTGATATGAGGTGGTCGTTGTGAGTGAATGGTCCGCGAAAAGTGTATGACCTAGACTCCGACTAGTTCGGATAAAACCCTGAGTAAATTCCCAGGATGTAATCAGTGAACATTAGGTGCAATTTAATGGAAATAAGGATAGTATCATGATATTCTGAGTAGGTTAGCTTGGGTCGCAAATGAAATGTTATCGCCATTGTAGTACAATTTTTTGGTTGTGTGACTAGATTGAGAAACGGACCTGTGTGATATTAGTAAAATTGCGCATTAATGCATACTGCGAAGCATCATGAGTGGCTTAACAACACCTGAATTATCTTCTTGTCGGTCGGCCGAGTCTCCGCTCGTTCTCCCCAAGTATGATTCTTGATCGCTTTGTGCCACATAGTTACGCTCATCTGCTACACTTAACGCATTGTTCGTGAGGTTGCTGCAAACTTCACGACGTCACACGACCGGTATCGCCCATCTTGGGGCTCATCAGGCAGACGTAGTCCCCGAGTTACCCTCAACCTCATGTTCTACAAGTTCCCAAACTGCACGAAATTACCGAAATAAATTCATTTGCTTAGAAATCTGGTTTTAACAGGGGACCCAACTGAGCCTGTTGTTTATAGAAGAAGTAGTACTCCGAGAATAGACAAAAAAGTAGGACTTGAAGTGTATATTGGTTTTTGACTGTTTTCAGGATCCTGTGCACTTCATAGTACATGCTTATGAAATTGTTTGATTTCTCGTGTACTAGAGCCGGGCATCCATGCAACCATGGGCTAGGAAGTTCCGAGACAATCAAAGACGTCCATTTTCGATCGTGATAGCTCGAAACCAAGTCACAAGTGAAACAGATGGGCCACCTGGTGTAGCACACAACATTAAATGGAAGAGCACCATTATATACAAGAGATTCGGCTGGTTTCATATGAGTTCCCCGTCCAAACCAAAGTTGCATCAGTAGAATAATGAGTGTGTGAATTCTTCGGGTATGACTAAAATGGCACTTTGAACTTTTCCTTGGCTAGATCTATTCGACAGTCAGAACATAAGAACATAAGAAAACAGAAAACTCACTTCCACCCGTCACGTGGACAGCTGGTATTTGAAGAAAAGATGTGTGAGATCAGTAACATCTACGAAGCATGAGAAATAGTTCCACTTAAAACTACTAAACGCGACGGCGTTTGGTTTGACTGCTCCTAAAGAGGACCATTCCAGGTGCTCGTGTATAGAGAGAGAACAGAAACGTAGAGACAGAGAGTTCGCTCAACTATTTGTGGATGGAAAATTGCTGAATCTCACCGCATTTTTGGTTCTAACAACGCAATACAATTTAGTAGTTCAAGAGTGTTTCGTAAATAAAGTTCCTAGCTGCAATGTGGATGTAATATGGAAGTTCAACCATTAGCAAATATGGCTAGCTGTGTGATTGATCTACACTAACTGCCTACATGTACCGAATGGGTTCGAACACGATGGTGTGTGGGTAGTGTAATGCAGTGTTCACGGTTCTCGTCAGCTTGTAGGTATGACTATTCCGAAGAAACGTTATCTCAAACTATCCGGGACTTCATCTCATCTTTCGTGATGAACAATACTGAAGGAAGATCTGAGCCATCGAATAACGACTGCGCTT